AGGTTAGTGAGAGCCTCTCAGCACAACCCATCTCTTTACATGTTGCTTTTTATAACACTGCCTTTATTTCGTCCTTTGACACTGAAATCCTTTATGCAAGAGAAATGCAACATATTCGCAGAGTGGAGCGCAGCCATAACACCGGTGACGCTGGACACTCATCTTCCACAACAATTCCTCATCACTGATGTAATAGCTATGTCCCTGAACAGACTTATTTTTCTCTGTACGTTTTTCCTCAGGGCTGGCTGCTCTTTTGCTTTTAACGGCAGCACGCCAACAACTCCAATGGCTATGGATCACACAGCCTTGGAGCAGCCGTTCAGGCCTAATGTTCTGTGAGCACTGCGAGTATTGATTCCCTGTGACATGTATGATTATAAGCACAGATTAATAGACAGGAAGTTTACAGCTCCGGGTAAAGGAAAGTATCAGAGGGAGGACATTTTGCTGTAGTGTTATGGCTCTGCATGTTGGGGTGGTATAATGGAGATGTGACAGCTCGACCTCCCATACATAGTATATGCAATATTTCCCACGGGAGACATGTTGCTTTTCTTACAGTGTAAACAGCGTGTTAAATACTAAGTCAACTTTCACACAAAGCTTTCCAATGCTGTGGTCTGACACATTCACAGCCTGTGTTTATGGAAGCTTCAATTTGTCGTTTTTCTGGTTTAGCACAATTGTTGAGTTTTGTGATTTTATATATAGCTGAAGGAGCAAATTATCGTTGCCACCTGTTTTAGTGATACCAACCAGTGGAGATGCGTTGTGCTGTGGGAGCGCCTTGTCAGCACTCTGTACGGTGGGATTTGGCTGAGCTCCATGTGTGTGAGCCTGATAATACCAGAAGAGACCTGTGAACATCAAGGACAGGGATGAGCAGTTTCCCTTGCCAATGTTCAAACACTTAATATCGCAACCAAACTCCATCCTGTTGACTTATGTAACCACGCTGGGTTTCTTTTGGCTCTGTCGTGCGCCAAAGTTTAGAAGCATCATTAAAGGCATCACATCATTTAGCATTGTTAATGTATTCAGTGCTGTGAAATTTAATTTAGATAGCGTTTCAAATTCTTCACACATTAAACTGTGCCAATTTCAAAGCAAGAAATAATAGACATTCAAACACTGTGGCTATTGTCATGACAATGGGGAATAATTACTGTGTAGTAGAGAAAAGGGTAACATTATTAAGGGCTTTACACTTTCTGATTAAGAAATTATATAATTTGTCCTGTAAAACATCTCAACTCTTATATTTTTTGTACCAGGGTTACTCAAGCTTTTCACCACCACTTTTGTTCTGATACTTCTGTTTTTAATATCTCTTTTCTAAGTACATACCACAAGTTAAATATTTCCCTATAATCCATTGTAGAAGCTTTGAATTGCTCTATTTTAATGTGCACCAAACCCCCAATCAACACTAAACGATAGCTCTCCTTTCCTCAAAAACCTTTTAGTGGACGTTAATATGTGGAAACACAGAACATTACATAACCTTTTGTTCTTCAAGTCTGCTAAAAGCCAATCAACTCGCAAAGCTAACTCTTTGACACACATACAAACACACGCAGTCTGATTACAGCATGTTTTTAGTCATTGTAAATTCTTGTAAGTGGTAGCTAAACATGTTTGTCTCCGAGAGAATCAACACACACAGCCCTGTTATTGCACTCAGCAGGACTGCGTTTCCGTGTTGTGCCTCCACAGTATCACTGTGATGTTCTTGTCTTTTTCCGGTGCGATGACTGATACAGGAAGGAGTGTGTCTGCTGCCTGCATGACAGACTGAATGCCACTGTAATTAAAGGTTGGCTGAGGGTGGGCAATGATGAGCTGTCTGCACAACCAATGATAGTTTCCTCGCATTTCTGCTTGAATACCTGCTATAACTCCCACTGAGCGTTTGTCTCCTCTTTCCATGGTGTCGTCTGCGTCTCTCTGCTGAGTGTTGGCGAGGAAGGGAAGTTGTGTCAGATGTTTGGATAGCCTCTCTGACTTTCTTCCACACCCAGGGGTGTTTCTGCAGTCACACACCCGCGGCATATTCTCATTAGTATCTAGTGAGTATTTTCCCCCGTGATGCTGTCAGGGCTGGGTTTTTCCCTCGCCGTCTTTAAGGAAGTTTCTGTTATTTATTAAATAGCTGGCAAGCACACTTTTCAGATAAATGGAGATGCATATTTTTGCCACAGACAAATAGATCCGATTTATAAATGAAATATCTTGTTTTGCTCCTTTGAGGAAAAAACATACAGTAATCAAAAGGGAGACATTTACATAATAATGTTTGACACTATCTGTGCATACTTTATTCAGTGTGTAATTGGGAAAACATCTCGAGATGGAGAATTTATTTGCAAATTGCTAATAAAAGGCTGTTTGCACCTAATTGTAATGAATCAATATTCTGTTACTGTGTTGCCCACTTCCTTGCAGAAAATGTTTTTGGATACATATTTGTGTTTGTTATTGACACTGTTAGAGACTCGTCGGTTCTGATTGGTTGTTTTCCTTGCCAGCGTTTTAATGAGGAGGAAGAGGCAGAGGAATTGAATGTTCATAATTATCCGTCTTGCTTCCTTTGGGATTTTGTGGCATTTTCAGCAAATATGATAAAAACATTTTTTTTTTGTAAAAGTTACCAATTTAACCTTGAAGTGTCCTAGTTTTATTTTCTATATGGCCCTACTTCAGTGAATTAGGCTATCATTACTTTAATACACCCTAGCTGCTACTACCTGTCAATATATGCTTCAAAATAGGTCTTGATTTAAGGTGGACTAATCGATCGAAGTGAACACCTTATTTTTGAAAGATGTTTCCATATAACACAATGGTACATATCACTGTAATTCAGGACCAGTCAGCACAAATCCTTTTATTCCCTTCAATAATGTAAATGAATAAGTTAACATTTTGACCTTACTTTTGAGTGCAAAAAAGCTTTATTTTGTCACCTTTATAGCACTTCGCATTTGATTAAGATACCCGAGAACAGGCCTTTTGAGATAATAAATATCTCTAAAAGACGCCTAAAATCCAGCAGATTGTTTTGGCACTGGCATCATTGTCCTGTTGTTTGTGCTCCTCTTCTGCTTTGGTTGGTCAGTTAGATAAAAGATAGACCTGCACAGCCTTTCCATAACGTTTAACCTCTGACTGCAGAGGTTTATCCAGGCAGAAAAGAGCTGGAAGATATACTGCGCACTCCTCAGGATATACCTCTCTTTGGCCATTCACTTGCTTTCCAGCAAGGACAATGACACAATGACAGGGTGTTTTCCCCTTGAAATGCAACGGACCCCTTGGGAATGGGAGGTTATTGAAACCAATGAAAAGTTCACATGACTAAATTCTGTAGAAGTCACCAGGGTGATGTGTTTTCATCAAATGATGGACAAATATCCAAATGAATCCTTTTGCTTATTTTTCTCATTTGACAGGATGCTCTTTTAAAACATTTGCCTTCCCAAACCAGGCTGGGTTACCATACATTTACGTATTGAGGTTTTTATTTTTAAATGCACAAAGCATCAATACATTTAAATAAGTGCAAGCATAGATTGCCTGTTTATTTGTCTGCCCGCCAGCAGCTTTATTCCCTCTCTTTCTCTCTCTCTCTCTCTCATTATTGTTTGTGCCAAGTAAAGCAGCTTTTGAGCGGCCGAGCATGAGCTTGCCCGTTGTCCAATCTCCATATTAAACACTGAAGGGAAAGGTCAACACCTCACACCTTAACAGTTATTGACAGGTCAGGAGGACGGAGGAGGGAGTAGGGAGTGGCAGGTCACTGATACGGTCAGGAAAATGAAACTGTCAAAATATGCAGATTAGAGGGAAGATGAGATCATTGTTGAGGATGAGTGGTTGAGCAGATGGCACTACTCATAAGGCACCTGAAGCCAGACGCAAATTGCTGCACTCATGGACAGGTTCATGGTTAAACTAATCAACTTGTTTCATTAGCAGCAGCAGCAGCGTGTGACGATGAGGTGTACAGTTGAGAGTTTGGAGCAAGGACGCCAGAAGTAGGGAAGGAAGGAGCCATTTGCCCCAAAACTTAACCCCCTGGCCCGATTTGCTCTAACCAGTAGGTGCTGCCACACCTTCATCTGGCATGAAATCCAACATTTGTAGCATTAGAGGGATTCACAACAGCTGTAACATTTCTTTGGTTAGAAGATCGGTCAGATCAATAGCGGCGTCTGTAACCCTTTTCAGGAGGAAATCATTTTCGTTGTAATGCTACGGTATCTGTTCTACAAAATCATTATATATTGTTGCCTCCAATAATCCTTGTTGTTTTTGTAGCGTTTCATTCGTTAAAAATGGAGGTGAAACATTTAGAAAATGAGGTGGAGGAAAAGCAATGGACCTTGATGATTTCTAACCAGTTCTGTTCACTTCTTCTTGAACTCTGCAAATAAATTACTGAGTGAGAGGAAAGGAAATGTTGAACCTCAGTTACTGGAGCTCTTAGAAGTCCTTGGTCAGTGTGTTTAGCTGCATGTATAGAAAAGGGTCAGTGGAGTATATTAGTTACATAAATAGATGAAAAATAGAGACAAAGAGAAGGGAAATTGAATGAAATATAAAAAATCATTGATCATGAAAAGGACGAAAAGGAGAAAAAGAATTGGACAAGCATTTTTGAATAATGAAACAAGCCTGGATCATTACTAATACAATGTTTGCCTCATTATGGCTTTGAAATGCCATAAACAATTGCAGTGATTTGTAGGACAGATTCATATTTGCAACATCTCTGAAAGCTCAAGAGTGCGTGTCGAATTGACATCATGTCAGAATGAATCATCTAAGACCACAGGCCTGCTTCACGGCTGTGCCCTGCCCACACACTATTAGTATGAGTCCAACACATTACAACAACCTGGCTGTGAGAATATGAATAAGACGTTTTGACGATAGAATAAACATTTGATTGATCGGATGTTCTGAGTGTAAATGTTCATTTCTACCCCCTGCAGATCCATCGATGCACCACAGACAGAAGACGGTGGTGAGGGACATGTGCTACCCGACAGAGATATCCAGCCTGATGGACTTTGGCACCCCGGACTGCTCGCTAGGCAAAGGTACGGTGAGGCTCCAAATATACAAGTTGTTGCCTTGGTGACAGCAGGAAGTGTGCACAGCGATTCATCATGGCAGTTAAAAGACACAGAGCTGTCAGCTTGACTGGGAGGTTAACACTGGAGCAAAGGCCTGCACAGGCTTAATGTGTGAGAACAATCAGATAACAGCTCCCTGTACCTGGTGACTCACAGCTCACAGCTGAATAACATGTTTTGTCAACCAATGCATAGCACAGATGCACAAGACTGGATTGACTACTTGCCGCAGAAAAGCACTTTACTTTGCAGATTGCTTTAATCTGAACAGAGCTTTATTGAAGCTTATTGCACCAGAGCTCGGTTTTTATCTCAAATTACATCATTGTAGCAAGGCCAGTTATATTCTCCAATTACCGCCATCAGTTGGACAACACATTTCTTTATAAAGAGGCCTGTGTGGCTCGGGGTAATAGTCTCTCTCGTGTGGAGTAATCAAACTGGCCTGCCTGTAATATTACACACCGCAAAAAGGTATTGATCATAAAGTATATCGATCGCAACTGTTTTGTTGTTCACTCCTTTCTCTCATGATAATCACCACTGTTATTCTCTATTGTTCTCACACCAATGCCAAACCCGAGTGTCTGCAGTGTAATTGTTGTAATAATTTTAACTCCAGTCTCTTCATCCCATCTATCCCTCTGAAGTCGACAGCGCTTGCTCAGCGGCTATTAGACAAGCCTAATGTCATTTCCACCAACAATAGGCGGCGCTGACAGCGTTGACCTCAGTCGCTCATTCTCTTCTTCCCACAGTGCCTATAGCTGCTTTTAGTCCCCCTCCTCCTTTTTTTAATTTCACCTTCTTCTCTCTCAAGGCTAGCTAATATCTTAATACCACTCAGCCCCGGCTCTCTATCAACGCTCCCCAGCACTGATAATGCAGACTGACAGGTCAACCGCGTGCAGCTGAGAGAAGCTGGAGCAATACAGTGTAGGGTAGAAAAAGAAGGATTTCTTCTGGCTTAAATGTGAGCAAATTAATGACAAAGTGATACAGGGAGTTAAGCCTGAGAATAAGGACACTGAGGGCTGGAACATTTCAGACTAAAGAACTGTCAGGATAAAAGCAAAGCTCTGAATAAAATTCAGTGTGGCTGAGAGGCGGGCTACAGCGTGACCTTGGAATTATGAAGTGCTACATTTGATACCAATTTGTATCTGATTTTAGACGCTGTAGCTCTTAAGACAAGTTAAAATCAGCTTTAATCAGACATGCTCAAGTATAAGTGGGAGTAATTAGCATCTCTACAAGTTCTAATAATTTGGCTCCATTTGATATTATAACTGTAATACTACAATGATGACCAGACAGAAAAACATATAGCTTCAATATGTAGATTAACTTCAATTGGGAGTTGATTGTATGCACGATAAGAGAGATAGATTTCAATCTTTTGTCTCAGCTCTGATCAGTCAGAGAGAAACGAGCCTGGCAGTAGTCCTTCAGGTGTCAGCCTGTGATGGACAGATCCATTGCCTCATGTGACAAGTATCTAGTTAGAGCACATGTGATCTGTGGACGGAGCTGAACACTGAGCGCCAGCCTCTGACAGGCAGGATAAATGGCATGCTTGCTCTGAACTGCTGTCACGTCTTCAAGTGCCAGAGGTTTAACTCGCCTTTTTTTTGCACAAACACTCACACACTTTATGCATACACTCGTGCTTTAGTATGCTAGTTATGGCACTCAAGAGCTCATAAACCAAAAATTCCATTATAAGATTATATCCAGCCGTGCTCTGCAGGCTGAATTAATTCAGTTGCAGCCCTATCTGTTTTCGTTGTACCACCTGCCTCAGGGTTCAGGCCTAAATAGCCCTGGCAGGCAAACAGGACCAGCCTTAACCTTATTTACTCTGCACACATCTGAGTTCCCATCTCACATGACACAGACTGTCCTTCCTCAGACAGGCAGAAGAGCTGTCCATGGAGAAATCCCTGCAGGGTTAAAGATAACATAGGGCAGCTCTTATTAATAATCCAATCTGAGTGTGTAGAGCAGTTTGGTGAGAAGCATGAACTTCATATCACATCACTGCTGTCATGGTCCATTTTTATGTAGGGTTTACATTCCTACCTCCTCTGGCCAAAACACACTTTCACATTCAGGAAGTGAGTATTGTAAAGTCATGTAGGCTACAAAGGCAGTGTGGGCTCAGAGGGAGCAAAGGGCTCTCACACTGAGGGCTGTTTTGTTCTCCTTTCAGTCACAGAGTGTAACTCCACACACTTTCCTCTGCTAGCTGTTGGCCATCAGGTGGAGTGAGAGCTCCATGGACTCACCTGGTTCATTACCTGAAGCCTAAGGTGCAGTTTGTATTCCCCTCCCCCTCCTACTGCTTACGTTTGTACACAAGGGGGGAAAAGATGAAAAGCAGGAGTGGGCGTGGGGGGAAAGTTGTCCTGGTTGCCACAGGGCGTGTCACTAAACAGGTATATAGAAAGTGGGAGCTAAAGAGAGGCACATAGAGAGGAAAGAAAGAAACTAAAGGAGCAGGAAATGTAGCCGAGTGGCTCCCAGGAGACGACTTCCTAGTAACCTGTCTGGGTGGAGCCTCACAGGCTGGGAGCGGCCGGCTGTAGTGGTGCATTCTGAGCGTTCGTTCACCGGTCTGTACGTATACAGTACGTGTGTGTGTTTCCTTTTTTTTTACCTGCTATGAGAGCTCAAACCACAGTTGACAGTGGAGTCGAGCGGAGCCTGTGCTGGAGAGGACATGAGGTCTGAGAAGGAGGAGGGGAAGGCCGGTGAGTGACAGACAGAATAGAAGATAGAGACGTTGTTTTTGTGTAGGCCATAAAAATGGCTTGTGTTTGCGTTGTGAGCGAGCTCAAGTTCACATGTGGGTGTGTATGGGTGCCTGCTTGGATTGTATGAGAGGAATTTGAGTGGAATGAGAAAAATGTATGATACATAAACAGTCTTGGAGAATACATTTATTCAGTAATATAGTATATATATATATAGTCTAATCAAGTACAATTGTGTACAAATGTGTCTGCTTAAATTATGCCATACTACATATCAGATATCATCTAAATGTGCTCAGTTTTTTAATATAATACATTTTGTACCTAGTAAACAGTATGTGAAGTAGTGCCGGAATGATTACAAGTGTTATTGAATAATAATCTACCTTTTATCTTTCATTAATCAATATATTGTTGATTCTATAAAAAAAAAGTTCCCAGAGTCCATACTGAGGTTTTAAACTTATCCAAAGTTTCTTAGCCCACCACCTAAAATGTAAATAATGTATTATTCTAGAAGACTGAGAGAACAACCTATTATATGAAGAATAGCTGGCAATTTTCTGACTATCAATTAATCGATTAATGTATCTAGAGTTTCTGCTCTAATGCGATCTAAAAAAATAAGCTTAATGACATACATCATGCCATATAAAACAATAATGTCCTGAAAATGTTCCAAATGATATATTGAATACCAGACAATGTTTTATTTTCACGCAGTTTAAGTAAATAAACATTGCCTCTACCATGGTTCATTTGTTTACAATAATATATATTGAAGGTTATTTAACATGATTAATGTGTGTACTCTTTGGCACAGCCCTTTACAGTAAGTGCTGATTTATTTAAATCTATTCCATAGCAGAGACTTACGTATTGTTTTTACTTAAAATAAGAACTATATGCTGACCTAGATATGACATGTTCATATAGATAACATGATAATCTGTTAATCTTTTATAATCATTGTACATGAATATAGTGGTATTTGGTGAGATAATGTACAGTGTAACTGATTTTAGTGGCTTACCAACAAATACTAAAGCTCTTAGAAACTAAGGGAAAATACTACTGAGGGAAAATAATATATCCATTGGATCTAGTGTTGTCAATATTCTCTGAATAATGCATATTACCCAGTACGTGTATTGTTGGTAATTGAAGATATAAAGAGAGGGCTTGATGGCGAGAAGGGGCCCACTGAAACTCATAGATAAAACATCATTATTTTTAATGTGTGGTTGGCTCTACCAGTCTCTTCATCTGAACGTGAGAGGGGGTTCAAGCCCAGATTTCTACACTGAAAGTAGAGATGATGGACACGCTGGTGTTGGTGTCACTTGAGTTACCCACCATTCAAGACTTCAAAGCTGAAGTGCTAATGGGTTCTGTAATGGGAATATGCTCAAAGGTCTAGAAAAAGACATTTGGAAAGGGAGAGACCGGATGATCAAGCAACCAGTGATTTGCTGTATTCATTTTTGAGGGACCCGTGACCAGCTGCACTACTGGAACTGTATACAGCTTGTGACAGTTTGTGACAGTTGGAAAGTGTCACTGTGTTACCATGGAAACATATAATGTTAACTGTTTCGAACGGTTCTCTTTGAGTTTTAAGCTGAAAAATAAACACACAGCTTGTAAAGTCAACAATAGAAGATTATCCTCTTTTTAACTTCTTCAATTTTACATTACTCACTGAGTAATAAGCATATGTAAATCTGCACATTTTCTTACTTGCTCAAAATATAAAGTAACTTATAATGGCAACCATATAATCAGTTTGGCAACCAAAACCTGATGACTTGTTGCGAGTCTGGCAACCTCTTTTAAAAGTTAGCGTTCAGCCCCGGGTCCTCTGTTAGTTATCTTTATTAAGATGTTATGAAGTTCTGTTTGTGTATATGTGTGTATCTATTGTTTGAGTCAAAGTGGTGTATGAATGAGAAGAGTTTGATTCCACTGGGTTTTGCGTGACTCCTACTGCAGCCGATGTACCCTGAGGTCACCACTCAAAACTGCAGAAGATAATGAGTTTTACTAATTCGCAGTGCAACAGACAGATGGTAGAGTCATTATAAACTAAGATCGTTGTTTTAAAGTCCTTCAACACGACCATAAGAGACTAAATGTTGCACATCCCCATGTAGAGCATCATTTTGTTGTTGCATTTTTCCAAGAATCATTTCTATTTAGACTCTGTTT